GCACTATCTTTTCGCAGCCTCCGCTCATTTCATTCAAACGCGACAAAAACTTAGGCAATTTTTTGGTCAGAAGTTCTTTTCAGACTAATGAGCAACCAGGCACTTTTAAATGCGCTCGTGCACGATGCAAAACGTGTCCTTTCATTCACAACACTGATAAAATATCGGGACCTAAACGATCCATTAAGATCACCGATCACTTCACGTGCACCTCCGCTAATGTAATCTATTGCATAACTTGCACTTATTGCAAAAAGATATACATCGGCGAAACAGGCAGAAGACTAGGTGACCGATTCCGAGAACACCTTCGAGACGTGGAAAGGAATGACAAGGACACATCGAAACCAGTCGCTAGACATTTTAATTTACCTAATCATTCTAAGCAACATATGGCAATCTGCGGTCTTTCCTTGCACTTAGGTGGCACGGAAAGCCGTAAAAATCTTGAACAAAAGCTCATCTTTCAAACCGGCAGTCTAAATCCCACAGGGATCAACGAACGCTTTTCATTCCACTAATTTATTCATGTTTTTCTCGTTGCCATGCTCCCACCAATAACGTAGCTCCATTTTCTGCCTTTAAAAGCACACACAACCCACAATTCCTCTATTCGCTCCGACGAAGGGCTAACGCTCGAAACGTCAGCTTTTGTAATCATTACGGTGGCCAATTTACCATTTCAACTTTGTTGATATATCCAAATTATTTCGTTACTCCCACCGACGCAGCCCCAAACAGTTTCTTTCGAAAGTATCAGCCTTTATTAATTAGTTAATTTGGTTAGGCAGGGGCCGTTAAAGAACCCACTCACCAGATTACTGTGATAAGGTCAGGCCTGTTTACTGGGAATTGGGGGGAGGGGGCATCTTTAAAAAAGTTTCCTTCGATTGTTTGTAAACTGCTGATGCAGTCCGGCCAAAGTCTCCCGAAAAGTGTTGTGATGCGTATTTGATCATATCCACATGTTAATTTGCGCAATATAAAAATTAAATTATTATTATTATTATTATTATTATTATTATTATTATTATTATTATTATTATTATTATTAACAAACTATCCTAACGGCATACGAGAAACATTTGCCGAAATGACATGGACAAATTTATTTAAAAGCGGCGTGGATAAATCACAACACGCTCGCCTTTACCTTCCTTTAAAATCCTCAATTTAGCGAACAGCATTTTGCGAAGGAACACCACTCACGTTGGAGTGCACCCTCGCGACATAACATGGGAAATAACGGCCATAGTTAGGACTAACCTTGAACCAGAAGTAGAATGAGGAACTAGATCGAGGTTGTACGAATCATCACTGTAGAGGTGTGCGAACTCCTCCAGAATATCGATATCTGCCAGCCGTTAAGCAAACTTGGAGGACATTGTTCATGACCTGGTCAAAATCCACAGAACGATAAAGTAAACACTTAAAAAAAGAAAAACACGTGGCCTAAATTGTATTCTTAAATCCCCGCCGGGATCTTGCAGGTATTCCCGATAAGAAAAGCGTCAGGGTCCCGCCAGTATTCCCACCGGGATTCCCGCCAAGATTGCAGCGGGATGCCTGAAAGGAATCGCGCTGGGATCCGCCGGGATTCCCACAGGCACAGTCTGTAATTAACAACATTTTTTGGAGCTTGATTTAAAAAAAGGATACTGTTCACGTAACTGAAAAATTCTCGGTATTTCAATCCGCCCTGATCCCGGATCCTATCCAGGAGTTCACAGAAAGCATCCTCTTCTCTTGGCCAACCAAACTGCACTAACACTACCACGTGACCTAGGAGTGTGTCATTTCGCCCTTCCGTCACCAGTCTTTGCTAAAAAGTAAGCAACTTGTTTATTTCTCTCATTTCCATGAACTTAGTTTGCTTCTCAAAGTACTGTCGTTAAACAGATTTTTCAGAATGTTATTGAGTACATCAACATCGCTCAGACGATTTTTTAATCATTACCGCACCACATCAGGGAAACGTAACGCGCTGAATATATCACACTGTAGAATATACATCACACTGTAGAATAAATATCACACTGTAGAATAAATATCACACTGTAGAATATATGTCACATTGTAGTACAGGGTAAATGTACGAACAGAAAGCGTAGCAACAAAATGACTGCATGACTGTACTGAACGATCAAAACTTGGAGTTCTTCCTTTTCTTAGCGCTTGACTACTTAACAAACGAAGTTTTATGCGTATCAGATTTTTTTATGGTCATGGTTTCGTTCGTGTTGTTTTCGGCTTTCGCACGAGATCATAGTTTAAAAGACTGTTTGGGTACATCGTGTGACTAGAGAGGACTTACGTTATTAACAAAAACTACCTTGAGTGAGGAAAGAAGTAAACGGACTGTAAAGGAAAGCACTTCTGTTTCACTGCACTGGATCAGTCTTAAACATCGACCTGAGGGTTCAATGAAAAAATTATCACAAAAACAAACATGTAAAAGAAACAAACCAAAAACAACAATAACACAACCCACACCATAACCTTAACTCTTCCCCAGTCCTGACAATTGAAACACACGGCTCGTCAGTGACGGGCAATCAACTCTGCACTACAGCAATAGATAACACGCTTGGCCATTACGGATACCCCCCTCCCCCCGCACTACATGCCAAATACCCTTTTATTCGAAAAATTAAGGTAGGCTTATGATGCAGTCATTGTCAGAGGATTTTGTATTAATTTACCGCCAGCAGAGGCCGAGCTTAACGGCTCATTTCCACTCGTATCAAGTTTTCCTTGATGTACTGAAGTTGATCTTTTCAGTGTCATGTTATCTCCAGCTGAGCTTCTAGCCACGAAGAACTGCATACTGTATAGTGCTTCTTCACATGCTCTCTAATAACAACAACAAGGGTGAATGTGAGTTACAGGAACCTCTCTCTGACCAAAATCACGGGTTCGTATTGTAAGCGACGGGCAGGGTTTTCCCCCTTCGATTCAAGGCTGAGAGAATTTTCTCTCCTAAAACACAACATAACACAACGACTCCAAATCCGTTCCCACGATCTCTTTTTGTTCCACCCGAGAGCCTTCCTCCGCTCCAGGGTCTTGCTTCTTTCTGGGGAAAGGGAGAAAGAGAGACACCCTGGGAACAAGGTCGCAGTTAATCTCAGCCAGGGCTCGATCCCAGACCTCCTGAACCACAGTCTATCGAGCTGACCGCTGACCATAAGATTACAGTGACGCAGTTACGATAAAACCACCATTCATTTTCATTTCTGATAGGTTTGTTTATTACCTTGTGATTATCGAGGCGGAAGTAGCAACATGACAACTGAATTGCTCCTCTGATAAGTAACTAAACCACAAGAAAAAGGAAATAAAAATTGGTAAAAAAAGAAAAAACAACAAATCCAAAAAATCTCCTTTAACGTTTTCGCTGTTTTGATCTTAGGAGTGTATCTGATGTAAGTTGAGCAGGCTAAGTTTCTATTGCTGAGATTTATTGTGAGGCTACGGACTGGATTATGTTGATAAAAAAATTTTTTTACAAACCTATTTACAGAGCGCAGCAAAGGAGTTGAACTTGGGGCAACCGAGAAGAAATCCAGTGAGTGGCAGGGTGGAGGACTTTAACTCAGGCCACCGGATTTCAAGTCCAGCAGCCTAACCACTCGGCCACGCCACCTCCGCCAATTGTACGTTTGGTTTAGCTTGCGCTTTTTCTTTGGTAAAAAAAAAATGGAGAGATTTATCGAAAAGATTAATGATTCGGGAAGCATTTTACAGCAGGTATATTTTTCCTCATTTAATGCAATACTTCTCTCACTTAAACGATCTTTACTACAACGCATCTCACTGTTCACTGAACAGCATCCATACCTCTTGATTTTCCGAAGCGTCCTGCTCCAAAACATTTCGTTGCTCTTGGAGAAATTCAACAGCTTTCTTGTATTTACCCTAAATAATACACCGTAGAGAATAGTATAGAATGGATACAATTCGGACGAATTCAAATCCGATCAAACGGAATAAACAATCAATATCTTAAAATAATCGCGAACCAGTTGGAAAAAAAAAAGTTGCAGGAAAGACGACGTCTTCTTGGTCGAGTGCTTAAGAAAGGCCAGAGCCTGGGCGATCGCAAATATCGCTACTCTCACTGTAATTGACTTTGGCTGACAAGATGTTATGACCCCTTCGCATTTTATAAGGTTTTCTTGATAGTTTGCCCTTGCACTCCTGGGTGGGGGGCGGTACTGCATGAAAAAGGTGTTTTTGCCAAAGAACACAACAAAATGACCGTGACTATGGGCTAGCGGCTCATGATTCACACCACTGCATCTGCTATTGACAGCCTCATAGCATGAACTGAGAAGTAAAAAGTGTTACTGAAATGAGAGTAAAGTTATGTTCAGAACCCAACAAGATGAGCTTCTGCGACTGTACGTCGTTTGTAGGTTAGTGGCTAAAGGGGGGACACTTGAGTCGTCTGGAAAACCCTCCTTGTGCCCCTCGTAACTGTGGTACCTTGTAAATAAGTCGGTCCACTTTGAACGTTCCCATCCAGTTCCACTGGTCCACACGCCAGTCGTCTAAAAGACGCAGAAAATCTGTAAAAACCAACAATGTATACTTGGAGTGAGTTCCTGGTCTTTGCAGGCTTGAATAATTCCTCAACTTTACAATCACATTTGCTTTATAAGCAATATTAACCTAGCCAGCAACTACATGTGCTACAAAATCAAAATCCTTCTAATCTTGGAAACTACTAACTCAAACTTTCCGCCAATACGACCTTAAAAGCATTTCTCTGTAAACAAATTTTTCACCGTGGTTCTCCTCCATCGCAAAGTAGAAAAATTTAAAGTCTAAATAAGATTTTGTACGCACTGATTTTGCACTAGTGACGAACCGTTTTTTATAGTCAGGATACGCGCGCACTTACGCACCCACGCACCGACGCACTCACGCACTTACGAACGTACTGTTTTGCAATAGCCACAAACCTTTTTTATAACCAGGATATGTGTTGAGAAGATGCCAAGCCTCCACAGATACAGCGAAATCTTCTGAGAGGTTTTGACTGAGAGTACCACAGTCTACATGAAAAAAGAAAGAAAGAAAGAATAAGGACTAAAAAAAAAATAGACCGTCAAAGACTACATATGGCTACGGGTAAAGCACAATTTTTATAGCACTGAAAATAACTTGAGTTTGTGAAATAACGTTAGGAGGTAGATTTCCAGACTATTTGTCCCATATTTGTCCCATATTTGTCCCATATTTGTCCTATATTTGTCCCACATGCAAAAACAGAAGACCTGCCGCATCCCACATATTTATGAGTACCCTGTTCCATTATATGACATTCAACAAATAATTAAACGGTAATAAATAATAGTACTAACCATATCAATAATAATGATAACGATATTAATATAATATAATGATTAAGAGGGACTTGCTGGAAAGACTTCCCCTATCCTCTTTATGCTCTTAGGCACATTTATGCATTTATGCTTTAACGCACCTACGCCCTTGAGCTATTACGCACACTTACGCACTTACGCTATCACTTAAATACGCACATACGCACACTTATGCACATTTCCTCAATTACGCTCTTACGCACACTTACGCTCCTACGCACACTTACGTACTCACACATTAACGCACATACGCACTTACGCTATTACGCACTTACGCTATTACCCACATTTAAACTCTCACGTACATTTACATACTTACGCTTTTACCCACACTGACGCATTAACGTAGATACGCATTTACGCTTTTACCCACTTAACTACTTACGCCATTACGCACATACCCACAAACCCACTTACGCACACTTATGCTCTTACACACATACACATGAATGCACATACGTACTTATGCTATTACGCAGACTTACGTAGTTACGCTATTACCTCATACACACATATGCACCTACGCACACTTACACTTACGCTACTGCGCACACTTAAAGACTTACGCTATTACCCACATACGCACTTACGGACACTTACACTCTTACGCACATTTACGCACTTACGCTATTAGCCACATACGCACATAGGCACTTACGCACATTTAACCACTTACGTATCAACGCACATACGCACTTACGCACAGTAACGCACTTACGCTATTACCCACATACGCACTTACATACACTCACGCTCTTCCGCACATTTACGCACCTACACACAGACGCTATTACGCACACTTACGCTATTATCCACATACACACTTATGCTCTTACGCATAATTAGGCACTTACGCACATACGCATTGACGCACATACGCTATAGCGTAATAGCGCACCTGTGCATTTACGCAAACTTACGCACCTACGCATTTACGCACTTATGCACTTACGCTCTTTCGCACATAGGAACTTACGCATTTACACTTAACTACGCACTTCGGCACTTACGCATATACGCATTTATGCATTTACATCTTTACACACATGCGTACATACGCACAACCTACGCACTAACGCTCTTACACTCTTTCGCTTTTACGCACACTTACACACTTCCCCATTTACGCATACTTATGCACTTACACACGCTCGTACACTTTTCTGCACAAATACGCACTTGTGCACATTTGCACTTACGCTCTTACGCGCTTGCGCGTTTACGCTTTTACGCATTTACGCATATTACACATATACGCACTTACATCCTTAAGCACATACGCACTTACGCTTTTACGTACACTTACGCAATTTTGCATTTACGCACTTACCAACTTACGCTCTAATACATTTACGCTTTTGACCACACTTACACACTTACTTTCTTACGCAAATTCGCAGTTACGCTTTTACGCACTTACGCAATTGCACACATACGCACTTACGCTCTTCACTAAAGCACACACGCACTTGCGCACTTACGCATTTACCCACAGTTAGGCACTTAGGTATTTACCTACTTGCGTGTTCACGCACACTTACGCTCTTACGCACATTTACGCATTTAAGCATTTACAGACTTACGCACACTTACATACTCACGCACTTAATTACACACTTACGCATGCACACTCACTCACTCACTCACTCACTGAAATCTTTAATAAGATAATTTTTCTATAGAATCCTTGAATTGTCACATGTTCCAAACCTGTCTTACTTTTATCGATTATGATGTGGGATGGTTGCTTGCCCTTGCCATCGTCCTTTGTAGGAGAACCAGACCTGCCCTACAAAATAGCGTTAAACCAATTAATCTTAATGTCTAAAGAAAAACTGATTTATCAGAGGTGTCGAGAAACCATTAGTCGGAGGATAGGATAATTATACTTACAGATGCCAATTTTCGCTTTTTCTTCTTTGGCGCTGGGCTGTCCATGGAAAAGATTGAAAAGACCAACAGAGTGTGATTTAAAAACTCCTTCCTCAAAAATGTTTTGTCGTAATTCTTAGTGTAAGTATAGAAACGATTCTTGGTTGATAAAAGGCTTGGAAATATTCAGAATAAGAAAGATGGTAAATATTGATCTCAGTAAAGAAATAGAGCAGATGCTTTTGATGGTCTTGTTATGAGTGTGGTACGAAATAAAAACGCCTGAGTCCCCATGATGAATGGAACCTCAGACCCTCGGATTCCCATGCTCTGATACTCTACCACTGAGCTACAGACTAAGAACTAAGCCACAACGAGGTTCATGTGACATGTGTCTTGAATACTGCTACGATCAGCAATGTTGAAATGCTAAAACAAAAACAAAACACCATGACCAAGTTTCTAATTTACCCCTTTTCAAGGTCTGTTCACGAACACTGATCGTTAACAAATGGTAAACACCACAGCGTACACTATTGAGTTATGGATGCACGCGGGAGGTTGCTAAGCACGAAAGAAGC